TGTGTGTGTGTGTGTGTGTGTATAACTATTAATCCAAATTTTCCACTAACTAAAAAGAATAAAAATGTTATTTTGAAAACACACACTCACACACATTCAAGTAGTTTGATCCAAAAAATTCAATTATAAGTTCAGAAACCAAAATGTCTTTTGGAATTAATAAATATGCAATATGCCATATTATTCTAGCTTCTTCTGTGATATGTGATGCAAGAAAATATTTTACYTTGGCTACTTTCATGTTAAGAAACTATTGTTTTAAATTTAGGGAACATTCTAAGCAACATGATACAGAAATAACATMTACACATTTTGTTTGTTTGGTTTTGTGGGGCTGAGAATGAAACCCAGGGCCATTTGCATGCTAGGCAAGTACTCTACCACTCAGCTATACCCCCAGCCCTAAATACACTTTTAAATTAAAAAAAAATTACATTTACACTATTTTAGAAAGGATTATGAGTCCTCCCATACCAACCATTTAGCTTTCACAATTTTATAACACTTTATAATTCTATATTTATATTTAAAAATTCCATTTTATTTTTATTACTCATGATATTATAATCTTGTTTTCTCCAATGAAACTTTAAACTACAACTAATTTAGCTGCACAAATAATTTCATATGGTGTTAGAAATAATAATTCAGGAGGAAGACACTTTGGAAATGTTGATTGAAGGGTTTTTATCATATTTGAGCTATTTGTTGAAAAATTATCAAATCCTGTAACTGGATTAATAAAACTGAATGGTAATTAAACAATGGAAATTACCTGATTTTCAACTAACTAAAAAAATATCATCTTGAAAAGTGAGCACATATTAAATTGTTCTCAATTACTATATCAGGCAAAAAGAAAAGATGTAAGTCAGATTATTAATTTGCAACTACTGATTTTGTGATTATGACTATACATGTGTTGCATTAAAGCCTACATCTGATAAGTATTGGGAGAAATAAATACAAGTTGTGATATTTTCCAGTCTATTCATCACATATTCATCAACCATGTTCTTTTCTTCTGAAAACTTGTGTTTTAGTATGATGCTATTTTTTCAGTTAAACATGGTATGTTTGGTAGCACAAATATATATCTGATACTTCTGTAATTCTCTCAAATATCTTTGGTCAATCTGCAAGAAAATATGTCTTGGACTGTTACTTTATTTTATGATCTCCAGAGCATTTTAAAATAATATGCTTGCTTAATTTTTATGAAATACACATCTTGTTTATGGAACCCCCACCTTTTCTTTTCTTTTTTTTTAAATCTCTGTTGGAAGTCATTATGAGTAGACTCATTGCCAAATAATTTTAGGTTTCCTGAAGAAGTATGATACATTGATAATCTTGAACACAAGAAAAGCATAATATTAATATTAACTTCTTAAAATGAGTAGATAAATTATAGCTTGTACCAGAGATCAATTTATGGAAATAAGATTTATATTTCCTTGCTTAAATCTTTTATTATTTTCCAAGCATGCATATTAGTAATACATCCTGATTACTGTACTGAGCATATTCCAATATCTCTTCAGAGTTATAAGTCTGTGATGGATGTTACATAGTGTAGAATGCTTACTCCTCTAAAGAGCAACTGCTATAGCAATCATTATGCTGCATAAGAAGAAAGAAAGAAATGATGATTTTATCAAGTTTTAAAATTGCTATAGCTCTTTAAAGTATTTCTCAGTATTTGTTCCATTGCTCTAAATGTGAAATGTAGGTTCTCGTCCAAAAATTAAAGCAAATGTATGGCATTAATTGAAATTTTGAATTTATTTGAAATTTTCATTTTTAGCATATTCATTATACTTCATCTTCTTAACCCAGTATATTATGGTTTTGGGGTAACTGTTTATCTGCATCACAGGTAACATTTGACCTCCTGAGTACAAAAGTATTTTTCTGATGGAGGTTGGGAAGCATTTTTGTGATTACAGACTTGGGTGATGTTATTGTCATAAATTGTTTGTAGAATCATAAGCTCAGTAAGTTCAGTAAACTGAGCAGCTAAAGGCAAGAAAGGGGCTTTGGGGCTCACAGGAGAACCATGCTTCCCAAGGTACCCTTCTTCCATTATAAGAAGATCCATTGGAATCAACTTGTTCATGAACATCAATTATTCACTTCTTCAATTATTTCACGTATGTGAATGTATTAAGTATTGAAATTGTATCAGGAATTATGTGTTATAACAGCCCTAAATTCTCTCTTTGACTATGTTACCATTCCTCAGATCTGGAACAAGAGTGACCACACAATTTGTTACCTAAATCACGATAGTTTGGACAATGAAAGTATCACTCATGGTTCCACGACAGGCATAAACTCTTGCTGTTGCAGTCACATGAYTGAGACTCTCTCAAGTGTTCTTATTTCAGATGAGTAGTGAGCAGATGGGCTAATGGGATCATCTGGACACTTATCCATAGATGCTTTCTTAAACACTATTAAAGTTATTATCTTCGGGGCTAAGTGAAATGCCTTGATATTTTCTCTTGTCTCTTTACCTGTACCAATAAATAAGACATCATATTGGCCATCCTCAGCTTCCACTCTGTCCACAGCTATTTGTTTCAGATTATATTTTCCATCTGTTTTTACCAATATTGGTTTCTTATGAGCAGGTTTTATAGACTGGTACATTAGTGGATGACTTCTCGCAAATCGAATGGCATCATCAGGGTAATCTTTGGTGGTCCCATACCTCCCTCCATTCACTTTGCTGGCACACTGAAATGCAAGCAGATTAGACAATTATTTTTGCCTTAAATCTAAACAGTAAATTTATGATCCATTATAAGAAGAATTAGAAAAGTGGAAGCTGTCCAATTAATCAACTATGCATTTAAAAGTATTTAGTAGCCATATATTCTTCATTCCAGAAATAGACTCAATTAAAAATTGCAATGGAATGCCAAGTTATTTTAAACATGCAGCCCTAAAAATATATAGAAAGTAGCAAAGTCTTGGAAAAGTAAAATCCATTTAATACCAGGACACTTTGGGGCTAGCAAAATTCTTTAACAGTATAAATGCTAAAATTAATTATCCTGATTTAATTTTTAACACTGAATTCAAATTTGAAGGTAAAGAATCTCTCAGAAAAACAAAGTCTCTTTGTGGTGCTAAATCTTCTCTCAAACTAAGAATCACAACCGCACAAAATAGCTTTTCCATTATTGAGACTATGATAAGTATGACTGGTGAAGGTTCTGATTGACTAAGAGACTATAGGATTTTAATGCTGTAACATAGAAACCTATTCAAATTTCATCACCATTAATTATTGAAAAAAAACCCTCTCCATGTTGTGCTACTATAATGTCTATGAATTTTCATTATTCTTGTATGGATTAGACACAATAAGCAAAAAACTGCAAACATTTGTTATAACATGTCTCAATTCTTGAATCACTGAATCTAAAATTGCTCACCATCACTTTAAGTTACTTCTTGGGACACCTTCAACTCTGTTGATTCATGCTTGTTAATAAGGAATCCCTCATTTCATGCATTTTTTTTTTTTCGAAAACCAGCAGCAAATTTAAGATTATCTTGATAAAAATTTTCCACTTTAGAGTATAAAAACATTACTTTAGTAATGTTGCAGTCACATGATTGAGACTCTACAAAGAGTGCATTTAGAATGGTTTGTTTTTTAAAAATCAGGCCATATTTCTTAATTTGGCACAAAATTTTCACTTGCTTGTACTTTGATGATACATAATTAGAAACATTTTGGATTATCTTGGAAGCAGTTTAGTCACTTCCTACAATCTCTATAAGGCCAAGTGGTTTAAAGAAGTCTTTCCAGCAAAGCCACAGAACTGGGTTTTCCTCATGTAAATTGTACTTTTCAATCAATGGAGTGAAATAAAATATACTTTATGTTTTACAGGAAGTAATAATTTTAAGCCAGTGAGAGAGAGTGATTATAATGGGAAAGACTTACACTTGTTAATGGAGGAAAGGTTAGTTTCCACTTTGGGTTTGACTCTGCAAAAATGGTTTCTATTTGGCTTGCAAGTAATTATAGAATCAGGGTGGTGACGAGATTTCACCAGCTGCTCATGAAAGTCTAGATGTTGACTTGCATGACAAGTTAAATGTTTGTTCCCCAAGCCTCACACAGCACCTAGAGTGATTTAACATTTATCCACCATAGTTGCATACAGGATCCATGATGTGAAATCATCACCATCATTATCATCATCCTAATTTTAGACATGTATGCAATTAAAAGCACAAAAGTCTGAATGGCTAATGAGGTGAATCTTATTAGCCATGATTCAGAGGCAAGTGGTACAATGTCCCATACTCTACCTACACTTTGTATTGTCACTTATTTTTTTTCTAATAGGCAATAAAGGTATGAAGCAAGGTGTTAAATATCCTAAGAGGGTGGAGAAAAAAACTTCTTTTTGATCTGCTAAATAACAACTAACAAGAAATTTTGGCCTAGAGAACTTACAGGGTAACCCATATTAGAACTGGGGGCCTAGCATATGCAAGGTACTGGGTTTGATTCTCAGCACCACATATAAATAAATAATATAAAGGTCCATTGACAATGAAAAAAAATATTTAAAGAAAGAATATAAAACCTGGGAGAGCTCATGTACAATGGCATAATTTGGTGTGAACATACTCTATATACTGAGTTACAAAAAATTGTGCTGTGAATGGGTAATTATGAATGTAATGCACTCCACTTTTGTCATGTATGTAAGAAATAAATTTTTAAAAGAAAGAAAAAAAAAGAATATAAAACCTGGGCAACATTTTCTTGATTAGAAATTACATGTGATACTAATTCTCCTCAACAGGCGGGGAGGAAAATATATGATTCTCATTTTATTAGATGTTTCTGTATTCACCAGTACCCTTAAAAGTAAAACTTTAGGTGGAACTATTTAGCCAAAATAATTATACAGACTTTATCGTACTGCTACAATGTATCCATTATGTTCTTTTCATCAAATAACAAGCATATAAGAATATGAAACAGTTGTTTCTTTATCCTCCAAGTATACTTTAAATATACAATTCCTTAATTGTTTAATTGCAAACTCTGGCAAAGCATGTGAAAAACTGATCAAAATAGCTGAACTTACAGAACCAGGCCTTGGGTAAGGAACTTTTCCTTCATAGAGTGACCAATGGTATTCAGGTCCTTCTTTATGTGCATATGGTCCATTAAAAGCTGCCCGGATGCTAGACATGTGATAGACGCAAATAGCATGCCCTCTAAATATATTACTGAAAAATAAAAAAAAAATTAAAAAGTAATTACTCTTTGTGAACCAACAGTTCACCTGGTCAAATATTCCAACATACATAGATTAAAAAGACCTTTTGGGTAAAAACCTTGCAATTCCTTTAAACATAGATTATTCTGAAAATATTAACTACTGCAATATTTTAAATATTGAAATTTCAAAATGTAACATTTCTTTAATTTACTATTTATGATAGCTTAAAATTACCCTTTTAGAAGAGGGTAATTTTTAAAGAAAATGTGTAACTTCAATTTATTATTGTTAAATCGTATATTGTGTTTTTTTCATTTTTGTTAAGATCTGACCTACAATTACAAAGATTCATCCTCATATTTAATTACCCATTTTAAGTTACTATCTCTTTTTACATTGTTTTATCTTCAAAGCAGACAGTTCTTTTAATCACCATACTATTAATATTGCTAAAAGTTCTATCCAAGGGCTGGGTTGTAGCTCAGGTGTAGAGCACTTGACTCACACATGTGAGGCCCTGGGTTCAATCCTCAGTAACACATAAAAATAAAGAAATGAATAAATTAAAGATATTGTATACATCTACAACTAAAAAATATTTTTTAAAAAGTTTTATCCAAATTTTATTAGATTTCTCAGTGTATGTGATACGAAGAGAAACTTAATGTCTCATGAAAACTTAAGACTCTGTTCCATTCTTTTATCCAGAAATCTCATAAACATTAGCACACTTATTTAATTCTTTCCTCCAGTTCACTGAAAACTGTGCTACTGTGGGAAGATGACTGACCCAAATAAATTAAACTTCAGAAAATTTACTTAAATTCTATAAAGCTCAGCTCCCGCACCTCCAGAAGTGGCAGCAATTAAAATGATTTTCTTGATAAAAATTTCTATTTTCAGAGGATAAAGAAAGCAGTTGACTAACTACAGCAAATTTATTGTGGATATTTGTAATCAGATTCTGCAAAAGGATATTTCTAAAAGATTTTTTTAAAAAAAAACAACTGGCTGTATTACTTAATTTGTCATGATCTGAATGAATTCTAACATCTTSTGAACCTCTGTAGTATGAGAATGGAAATAAATGATGTTGTGAAAGTGCTCTCTAAAATGAAAAATTCTGTGTAAATACAGTATTTCCTACACCCGAGACACCTGTAGAACAGCAGTAATGTTATTGTCTAAGGATATCAAATCACACATTTTATAACACACCTTGAAGCAATTGCAAATGCCTGGGATACTGATGAAAACTAGAGATAGTCTTTCAACTAAAGTGACAATAAGCCTTTGATCACTATTCCATGAATATCAACCTCTATGTCAGGTAACAGCTGGGAGCTTTTTTTCCTTAGATTTGTATATCAATTGAACAGTCAAAATGGAAATTATAGAAGAAAAGCTTGTCTTTCTTTTTTCAGAAAAATCCAATATGCTATCCTTTAGGAAAGTAGCTTATAAATTGATCATACTAATCCATTAAAAAGCCTATGCATTATTTCATAACTTAAGTTCACTGTATAAAGCCATCGAGTGTTCAAGCAACATATAAATTATTTACTGGCATATGGAAGAAAATGAAGTAAAAGAAAATTAAGGGACTTTCTATGAACTGTGATAGCTGCCAATCTATATTAAATATTTCTTTGCTCAGGAAATAATTGATAGAATGTTATTCCATGTTACCCTGTTGCAGAAAAAGATCTCTTTACAACAGCACCATACTTGTTCAAGGAGCTTATATTTTTTTCAAAGTGAGCATTTGAAATCACCTGCTGAAAAACTCAAAAAGGCTGTGTGGAAAGTCTCTAAGTACAGTATACAGGGTCATGGACAGTTTATGGCCAATACAATGCAAATGAGAAACTGAGTAAGATCATTGCATCTCTGCTGAGAGAAGTGAGATATATTTTTTATTTCTCACTCAAATTATTTTATCCATTCTCTGCCTTATTTGGAAAGATACTGATGAAATTGTGTACATAAACTTTCAACCAAAACATATTCTAGTCATACTTTTTCATCCATGAATGAACTATTATTTCACTCATTCATGGATACAAAATATAAGAATGTAAAGGAAAAATAACACATTATCAGCACTAAATTGAATAGCATATTTGAAAGAAGGAGAACAGATCATAAAGGCGTTGACTGTGAATACACATTGGAGGAAGATGGCCAGAACAAATGGGCAGGAAGATTGCTTAGTGACTAAGGAACCAAGGGCTATTTTCTGGACATGACAATTGATATGTGTTGAGAACTGACACAAACCAATGTTGGAAGACAAAGTCATTTCAAGCAAGAGAAGTGAACAAATAAAAATACTGTGATGGTATTTGGCAATATAAACACTAGAATCTGTCCACATATTATCTTGTCAGTGGAGGGCTCAAGGCAGGGGTGGGGAATCTTTCAAAGATGGGTGGGTAATCGAACAGTAAAACTCTGGCTTAGAAAGTTCAATTTGATAAGATAAAAGAATTATCCTAATCTCTGAAACATTAAATCAATATCTGAAAAATTACATGAGAAAAAAGTTGTCCTTTTTTGTAGATTAGAGAGAGAAGAGGTCAGGATACTAAGCACATGAGGATGCTAGATCACTGTATACAAAAACAAGAATCTGGACAGAGATTGTGGCTTTGAAAATGAGCTGCAATCGTGGGTGAACAAGGAGAAGTTGGTGATTTATAAAGTACAGAAAACAAGAATGATGACTGGGTCAATAGTATTTCCAAGTATATAAACCATGAAAGGAGAGTCTAGAGAGACAATTCTTGCTTACATTTTTATATTGACTGTATAAATCTCTCACCTGGTAGTGTTAAACAGTCCAAATATCACTGGGTTCTTATGATCTCTGGTAGGCAGCAAAAAAACATCCTCTGAAAAATTAAAGACCCATCTATCAATTGGAGTTTTTAGCCCTCTTTACATGCAGAGAAAACATATTCACATGAAACAGTTTAGAACTTATTATAGATTTAAAGACATAAATTTCCAAATAACACCCAGACAACCGTGACCAAAACATAACAGGGTGAATCCTTTCAGTGTTCTGGGTTTTCAGCTAACCCACACAGATGGAACCAGAGGCACTGACTCTAAACTAATGAGATGGATCTCCTTTTTTTCCTGCAACTCCTCTGCTATCACCAGGCACCTGGTTAAAATGAAAAGAACAGAAACATGCTCTCGGTTGGTGCTCTGGTCAAATATTGCAGGAAACAAGTTATCCACATGTACCAGACACAATGAGAGCTATACATCAAAGAGTAAAATTTAATTCTCAAAATAATACTTACCTAATTTATCAAAATATGTATCAATTCCATTCATTCCAGGTACTGAACAAACCAGTCTTGCTTTGAGGAACGTGCTCCATTTATTCACTAGTATTCTCTGCCCTCCCACATCATTCTGTGAAAAAAAAAAAAAACAGGTAAATGGGCACATAAAGAGCTTTTACCAACAATAGATTTAGTATTAGTCAATGTGCAGATGGCCTCAAATGAATACTAACATATATTCCTGTAGTTTTTTTTTTTTTTGCTTTGTTTTTCACATTCTGACTTGTCAGTGAATTATCACTCTGAAGTATTCAGTCTGCTTTCTAGGTATTAAACAATGTTAACATAGTAGTCTCTCCTAAATGAAGGAGTGGGCTTTATGACACTGTAACCTTTATTTTGTTGATAAATAATCTATACACACACACACAGAGAATGTACACATACAATACTTACATATGTATGTATGCATACAAGTCCTTTAAATTTTTTCTTTGCCCTCTTTTGCAGTGCTAAGGATTGAACCCAGGTCCTCACAAGTGGCAGGCAAGTACTCTACCACTGAGCCACATCCCAAACCCTCTTAAATCTACACTTAAATTGATTCTTAACTGACAGATTTACTTTACATTTGTAATATTATTAGCAGTCTCTAAGTACATGTTGCTACTTAAATTTGTTTGACTGTTCCAAACCTGACTGAATACTCAAACTACAGATTTTTTTTCTATAAAGTCAACCAACTTGAATTGTTCAAACACAGTTGTGTATATTGTTTAGATTGTGGACTAAAGAAACAAAAAGATTTTGGTTTAATACATTTAAAAAACCCTCAAACTTCTTTTTAGGAAAAAATACAAACTAACTATAGACTACTTATTATAACTATAACTTAACTGTAACTCTAAACTAACTATAGACTGTTTATAGTAATAGCTTTGAAAATGAGAAAAATCATACAAAATGCAGATTAAAAAAATGCAGATAAAACCTGCACTAGATATGAAGTTTTTATAGATGTGAAGTGTTATGGTTAGATGTGAGGTATCTCCCAAAGTTTATGTGTGAGACAACGCAAGGTTTAGAGGAGAAATGATTGGGTTACAAGAGCCTTAGTCCAATCAGTGAATGAGTCCCCTGATGGGATTAATTGGCAATGGAAGGGTGTGGGTGGAGGAGCTGGGTCCTTGGGGGTGTGCCTTTAAGGTATATATTTGGTGTTTGGCAAGTGGGTTTCTTTCTCTGCTTTCTGAACATAATGTGAGCCACTTCCTTCTGCCATACTCTTTGGCCATGTATTTCTGCTTCACCTCGAGCCCCAAGGAATAGTCAAAGCAGTGAAAACTCTGACTAAAACATGAATTATAAATCTTGTTTTATTAAATGCCAATTTTGGATGCCTATAGAATACTAAATATTTAAAGCAGAAACCTACTATAAAATTTGTAACAAATGCATGGCCATAGATTGTGAGATAAGCAATTTTAATGAGTGAGAAACACAATCCTCACCACGCAAAGTCGCCCCACTCTGGTGTATATCGCATGGGCATTGCTTTCTTCCTCCAGGGCCTTCTCAGTAAAAAAGAAATACACTTTGTTGTCATCTCGGTCTTCATTGTCAGGAATCATATATGAACCTACAAATTTTGGTTCTATAGGAGTAAAATGTGAAAGAAAAGTKAAAGAGATATAATAACAAAATGAGGTTATCCTAATAAATTACATGTCAACTGAAAGCTTAACTTTAACTGTCATCATTTTATTAAAAAATACATATTCCTTGAAAATTTTAACCAAACAAATTTTAAAAGGGATAGCTATCTCTATTTTATTTGCAAGTCAACAAACATTTTTAAATTGATAATGATAATAATATGCTAYTTAGAGTGACCATATATTTTTAAGCTTAACAAAAATGCTGAAAATGAAAATGTTCACCATAAAATGAGCTCCTAGACATACCAGCATAAAAAATATAAATAATATTCCTAACAAAGAATTTTGTCAGTGAATAGGTAGTGACCTTTCTAAAGTTTTATATCTAAGGTRCCATGTGATCCTATTAAGACAAGAAAAGCAAAGCAATCAAGTCATTAGAAATTATACCAATTGATAAGAACATAAAAACCCTATTGTATGATGAATTTTTCGCTTCTCATATATTTGCTTTGTTTTATTCATTTAAATTTTGATTTCTGAGCATTGCTAGGAAGGTATATTGATTTTATAATTAAACCAATCCATATGAAATGATGAACACAAACCATATAGATTTTACTTCAAGGATATTGCCAACAAAAACATTCTCAAATCTGTAAAAACTCTAAGCTATATTTATATTGTAATTATCAAAGTGGCAAAATTATCCATGAATTCTAGGCTTGTATTCAATTCTAATTTCCTCTGTATTCCGTCTCAATCCTACCTTTCAACAGACGCTCATCATCATGCTCAGTACGAATATGGGCCAGTCGCCCCATACTCCGGAAGATGGCAGCATCTCTGCCCCAATAGTCACTGTAGAGTCCAGCAAACAGTTCACTACCTATGTGGACATGTCAATTACAAATAAGTAAGTATTTATTTGTCTCTCTCTCTGAAGACAAATTATCAACCACAATTACATTAAACACATCTGGTTCCCAAAACATTCTGAACCTTATGATATTAATGCTATTGTTGTACAGGACATGGAAGGTACACTCAGACTGCCAGGGTTTGAATCCTGACGCTGCCACTTACTACCTGTGTGAATTAAAACAGGTTGCTTAAACTCTCTGTGCCTAGTTTTCTTCTTCTGTGAATAAGAAAATGAGCAGTACTCGACAGAATTGTTAAGAGCTAAACACTTGGGACAGTTACTGGAAAATACTTGGTAAATAATATGGCAAAGTTTGGTAAGTAATATGGTTTTACCTTCTTTTACTGAATTTATTTTAACCTTCATATCATCAGATTATTATTATTTTTTTTAGTTTAGTCAAATTCTTCTTATATCAGGAAATTGATAGCCAGATGTGGTAGCTCACATGTGTAATTCTAGCAGCTTGGGAGGCTGAGTCAGGAGGATGGTTAAAGCCAGACTCAGCAACTTAACAAGGCCCTAAGCAAATTAGTGAGAAAAAAATTTTTTAAAAGCTGAAGATGTGGCCCAGTGGTGCTTTTAAACATGCAATTTCAATCCCTAGTACAAAAAAAAAGAAAAAAGAAAAGAAACAAAAGAAAGAAAGAAATTGCTATAATTATCATGATTTTATTGTGGTAACTATAAAATCTGTCAAAGCTATATCTAATCCAATAGCTATTTAATTCATAAGTATATGTTTGAGTCCAATAGGAAGGATATAAGAAAAATCTCAGGATTTAATCAGGCCAATAAGAGAATGACTGAATGATGTTAGCTGCAACATATGGCCTAAGTCATAGCCTTAAAATAAGATTGAGGAATTACACAGATGTATTCAGCAGCTCCAGAAATGTCTTTGGAAGCAGAAATACAGGAATTAAAATTAGATTAAGAGAACAGAAAAACATTTTAAACAAATAAATAATATAAGAATGTAACCTAAATCCCAAAAAGATAACCACCTCTCAAGTATAGGAACTTGGAATCCCTTTTCTTCTGCATGACTTAAAAAGAAAATCAGTGTGCCCAGAAGTGGTACCTTCTGTCCTGGTACCCAGCTAAGTTGTCTTGTCCTAGGCAAAAAGCTCTGGCCAGTAAGCAAATGATAACATTATATGATTGGAAACAACAACCTTAATTTAGGGTGGTAATATTATTTTCTTAATGAGCATCATAGAACTCTGGTCAAAGAGTTAAAAACAAATACAATATGACTATGTAATCCAATATGGATGCTTTTATGAATTCTGAAAATTTGGAATGGTACATATGCATACACATGCTATTTAAAGTGTTTGAAGTTTCAAAGAATTCAAATTAACTGTATTTTCAATTTAATATATCAAACTATGTAATCAATTTTAGAATTAAGATTATTAACATTATAGGCATGGAATTTTGACCAAATCAATAAACCAAATTTTAGAGAACTTGAGTTTCTTACTTATAAATTTTATTTATTGAATTTTTAAAAAATTGTCTTAAATTTTATGAAGATTCTATCCCCTGAAGTAAAGCCCTTAAGACTTTTTAAAAATTCAATATATTCAATATATTTGTATTTTTATGGTTTAGACACAAGGTATTGCCCAAAAGTTCATGTGTGAGATAAGGCAAGAAAGTTTAGAGGTGAAATGATTGGCTTATGAGAAGCTTAAGCTAATGATCAGATTAATTCATTGATAGGGATTAATTGGGTAGTAACTGTAGGTAGGTAGGGTATGGCTTATGGCTGGAGAAGGTGGATCACAGGTGGTGTGCCTTTGGGTTTTGTATTTTATCATGGTGAAGAGAAATATTATCTGTTTCTCTGATTCCTGGTTCTATGTCTTCAGCTGCTTTCCCCCACCACACTTTTCCACCATGATGTTCTGCCTTACCTTGGTCCCGCAGCAATGAAATCAGTCATCTGATTTCATTAAATGAATAACAGTAAATTTCTGTTATTTACTYGGAAAATAATAGACCTCAGAAACCCTGAGCCCCAAAATAAACTTTTCTATTTGTTCCTGTCAGGTCTTTTTGTTGTAGCAGCAAAAAATCTTGACTAAAACATGTATATTTAAAGTTTGAGAAAGTAACCAAATGTGTTATATATGAGGCCAATTGTAAGGAAATTTATTTTCAACTTGAGTTAATTATTAAATTTTTAAAAAGCTATGAGGTATTACTATAATCAGCTATTTTTCACTTAGAAAAGATGAGCAGTTCTAAATAAGTCATTTTTCTGTTTATAAAATTCAGTTTGGATGTTCACAAACTACATAAGGTAAACAAAAATGAACCTTGGTTTCCCACAAAGGAAGTGAATTCCACTATGGATGTATAAAAACTATATAGTAATCCATAAATAAAATCTAGGTTTCACACAAGAGAATTCACTTCTAAACTGTAATTCTGTATCAGCTAAAGAGGGAAAAGCAAATGTGGCAGAACATCAGCAAGGTAAATGTCAGCAAGTGTTCATGTGATTCCTCAACTTTTCTTCGTATTTGAAAATTTTCAAGAAAACAAATTGAAAAAGAAAGATCTATTTGTTGAATTCATCCCTTATATTCAAGACATGCTAGTGAAAATGTATGAAATAAAATTATGAAAACTTAAAAATGTGGACATAAAATATAATTTTTGTTAGAGAAAATTTATATCAGAACACTTATTTCAGTATATCATGTTCTTGGCAATAGAATAGTACATAATTTCTATCAAAGACAATTAAGGCTACCAGAAATCGTAAAGCTATAAATGGAGAAAGAGTATTTTAAAACAAAATGCATTCAGTGATTAGGAACATGAATCATGAACTGTGATTCAGTCTGTACTGCTTGAACATGGATAAGAGAGAGAATTAAAATGAATTAAAAGAACTTGAAAATCAACTTTTTTAATAAACAAAACAAGTTGCTTAAGAGACTTAACTCACTATTAAAATGCCAGAGTATTTTTATTTATTATAGCTGAGTTATAACTTCCCATATAAAATACAAAGGACATAATATAAATTTATTTTAAACATTATTTATTTTTCTAGTGTGGGCAGGCTGAACCTTTAATCCACAATTTATATTAAGAGCAGATTCCTTAAAAATCACAAGAGTTTACTATTTCTTAAGTTTTTAATATTTGTATAATATAATTTCTTAAAATAATTTCTATTGTACTATAATCTTTATATTACTACACATCAATTTTACTGATTTATTCGTCCCAATTTATAACTTTGTTCTAACGTTCTGATTGTTTTAATCAATACTGTAAAATTAACAAACAAGTACCCATTGGAGCCACTAGATGGCAACCCTATGACACCAAAATAACACCATGTCCAGGAAGTTCATCTGAACAAAAGATGATAGGTTTCCATTTTTGGCCAATTTCCCTTTTTGTACTCAGATAAAAGAAATCGTTTGTGAACAATTCAAATAACACAATATGAACTGTATGACTTAAAAGCTTCAAAGCAACTAGACAGGTGCTAAATCTATATATAAACTGAACCAAATGTGTTTCTGTTGGAAAGGTTAGCTTTTCCTCAGAAGGGAAAGATTCACCTTTTGCATCTTATTATCAATGTGAAGAAAAAAAATAGATTCACATTACAATAGATAATGACTATGGTTGGCAAAATACTCTCCTAAGAAAACTAGAAAAAAATACACATTAGCAAAAATAATAAATTAGCATTGAGCTTTAGGTACAAATAATGACTAATTAATTGAGTAAAAATATTCAATATCATTATATAACTAATAAAATTTACAACAAATACAGAGTCTGTAATTAAAAACTTTACCTTAAAATTACAACTATTTGGTGTCAATAGGGAAAATTTGGTATTCTAAAAAATGCAAAAACAAAACATCTAGATAGATAAGTAATATTTTTCAAGAATTAAAAATGCAAAAAGTTTCATATGTTTTAGGATTTCAAGAACTAGAGCACACCTATCTGTGGATTTAGTTATCAACGACTATGGAAATAAGGTATATAATAAATGTATTATCTTAGCCAGTCGACTTGTTTTCTGATCTATATTGATATTGTGAATTGAAAAAAAAATTGATTTTTATGCCATATATTGTTTCATTCTTAGCGCATTCAAATTGGCTTCTGACAGTAATGGTTTCAGATTAATGTTAGGTGGCCAATTATGATTATTATTTTTAAAAACAGCACATACATTTATAGGGTATTTAACTTATTTTCATGCTCAATAATCATGTGTATATCCTGATAAAAGAATAGTGGGGAGAAATTTCCACTGGAAATCTAGCAAACTAAGTCTCCAGCTTGAAATCTGCCATTTGACCATGTTAAAACCATTCAGTATTTCAAGATACTCTTTATCTATAAAACTGGAGAACCTACATGCWTTTTCTTAAGCCTGTCAAGCAAGCAACATATACACTACCTTTTTGTTTTGTTTTGTTTTGTTTTTGCCTAGAATTCTACACTTCCCTTCTCACCTTATTTCCATTTAAATGGCCTGTTGCTCACTGACTCCATAAAGGCTTCCTTGACCAAATTTCTGTTGGTTTATGAGTTCCTTGTTCTACCTTAGCCCCCATGCCTATTCTTAGCATACTGGTCATAGTACTGTATTTCAATTGAATCCTCATATGCTCAACATCATGCTTCACTAATATCTAGAATATAAAAGATGTTCAATGAATATTCACTGAATAAAAGAATGGCTTAGTAAATTAAAATCAAATATATAAAGTTCCTTTAAGCTGTTAAAAGACTATAAAATGTAATAAACCAACAATCAGTATAAGATTATGATTTTTTAAAATGGCTTCAGGAACTTCAGAAACATCAAAAGAAAGAATGACTGAGTTTTTGAATTTTCATTCCTAAAGGCTTGTGTCATTTAATATTTTATATCACGAACCCAGAGAATGTTTTGTTCTATCATT